TGGGTCAGTATATATGTGTTTAATACATAAAATAGTAGTTTGGAAAAGTTTTGACTGATATTATAACTTACTAGACAAGAAATACTATACAAATACATTAAGTGAGAAAGGTCTAGGCTGGAATAGATCAAATCCCAGTATCCTAGGTAAGCATATTAATTAAATTTTCTTTGGAGAATAAAGCTTGAAAAACAAGGATGTAGGCCGACATCAGCTAAACTTTTGAAATAGAACCAGCCTAAGGAGGCTGGTTTATTCACTTGTGTGAGAGCACATAAGCAAAGTGAATCTGGAAAAAGGGGACTCACTAGCGAGTGAGGTGCGGTAAGAAGAAAAGTTTTACAGGGGAGGGGAGGAGTTTGCTGCCTTGAGGAATTTGGAGGCAGAGAGAGTGAGGTCCAGTTTCTTGGGATAAATGGTGGTTGCAGGTATTTTGAGGCTTCCTGGAACTGTAGCAGCTGGGATATGATTTTCCTTTCTGTTCCGTGGTTTCCCACTGTGCCTGCCAGAAACAGCCTTATCTGTTGGGCATGACATTCTTGTCTTTTTGTTGTTATAAAGAAAAAACAGGGGATAGTTGGGGTGGTGGGTGCTGTTTCTCATGGTTGCTTTGCACATGACAAGTGGAGTGATGTGGACAGTCTAAATGGGAGAGATTTGGAGGAATAGAGGTATATCGAAGAGAGGTCGGGGTCAGCATCTGCCTGTTGGGAATCTCCTGAATGTGGTCCTGTAAAAATCATGAGAGAAGTCTGAGGAGTCATGATCCAAAGAGAAGATATAGACAAAGAATGATATAGACAAAAGGTCCCGTTAATGGAAGAAGTCATGAGGCCTAGCTCCAAATTGGTTTAGGACAGGTACAATCTAAATTTTGAGGTCTTTTTGTTATTCTCTTAGCTGTGTCTTGTACTATGCCTGACTGGTTGGTATATAAGTAATATTCTTTTCCTGGGGAGATATATAAGTGACCATTTTTGGCTCTTAGGAGGTTTAAATCTCTATGATATTGGAGTATTAATGAGGCTAGGGAGGTTTCCTGGTTCTATAAGGTGAGAATGGAGTCAGGTTTTTTTTTTTTTTTTTTTTTTTAAAGGCTGTCAGAAAGATCTCAGGAGAGGGAACAATAGTAGGTCAGTGAGGTAATAGCCCCTTACCTTGTCAAATTGGAGCTTTAATGGCACTAGGAAGGCTATGGTGAAGGAAGGGGGATAGAAATAGGAAGGTTTCCCATGGAAATTACAGAGAGGTAATGGGAGCTACAACAAAGTCAACAGTGGATGTCTTCAGCTGGAACTCAGGGTAGTGATGAAGCGAGGGTTAGTGGCCAAGGCAGTCGTCTCCATGACAAGGGAAGACAGTTCTTCCAGGGGAGTATTGCGTGACCAGTGCTGTGTTTAACTGGCACAGGAAGTGGAGTGACCCTCTCTCTGTCTCAGTGGGTGAGGGGATGGAGGAGGAGGGGGGAGACCTAGAAACAGGATGTTTAAGGTTAGCCTGAGGGAAGTAGGGGAGATTAGTTGCAATTTTTATAAGGAGAAGTCAGGGAAGTTAATCAGCAGGACACAGCTTTACCCTGGAGCAATATATCCACTGGAGAGGTCTAGCAGTTGGATAGCCATCAAAGTTAGGCTACCTTTATGAGGATGGGTGTCAGGAGAAGGCAAGAGAAGGTTAGCATCTTGTTGGATCTCTTTTTAGGCTTGTTGTAGACCTGTGAGAAACTGTAGACTATGGGGCAAAGGCAGAATACAAAGAACAGTGACAAGAACAGAACAATCTAACAGCAATGGGGAAACTAGAACCTACTCACTTTCCTTTAAAACAAATGACAATCAGCCTTGCTTTGTGGCAGAGGCCTGTAATCCCAGCACTCAGGCGGCTGAGGCAGGAGGATTGCTGTGAATTCGAGACCAGCCTGGGCTACATAGTGAGTTCCAGGTCAGTCTCAAATGCATAGTGAGACCCTGTCTCAAAAAACAAACAAACAAACAAAAAACTAATGACAATCAAGAGAAGGAAACAGAAGAAAAGAAAAAGAAAGAAGAAATATGAATTACATACAGCAGGAGCAGGAACAAAAAGGGAGATGAAGAATAATGTGGGAGAGTGAGAGATTGTGTGGGAAAGAGAAAGAAAAAGAGAAAAAAGGAAAAAGAAGTAAGAGGAAAGGAAGAATTTGAAAAGACTAGGGAAAAAAATAAAAATTAAAAATAAGAGGAAAAGAAAAAAATAATTTTGAAAATAGAAAATAAAAAATAAAAATGAAGGGCCTCATTCAGGGTATGTCTCTTCTGTCACAAAAGACAACTGGGGCAGCATTGTGCAGATCTAAATCAATTAGTTCACCAATCCGCAGGCCCCTGAGATTCAGGCTGGTTTCTGGCTGCAAGGCCCAAGCTGAGCTCCCTGACCTCCTGCAGGGTTGAACTCTGCAAGGTTCTAGGGCAGGGTCCAGCTTCCCTTCCCCTGAGGATGGTCTAGGTTCCTGTGGGAGGTGGTGACCCCTCCAACTTACCGACGACCACGGTGGTCTGGTGAGCCTTTACTGCAGAGATTCTCTTCACTTTTCCAGTGGGCTTCACTCTACATCAAGGAGCCTGAGAGAGGCCCTCTTTCTGTTGCTCACTTCTGCTTCATTTTCTGGAGCTCAGTACAATGGCCTTTATGACCCCCTGTGCCTCTGTGGTGTGGATCTAGGTACTGGCACAACCAGGAGGCCTGAATTTGGCGGGTGGCTGGCGTGATGCTGCAGCAGTGTCTGCACTGCTCTGGATCCTCCACACTGGTCTGTGCTGCTTAGAGACCTGGGGCTCTGGGGGTCGGGTAACAGCCTAGCCCCATGAGGCTTCTGTAGGTATGTAGGGTTTCTTAAAGCAGAGGCTAGCATTTGTGGAACTGCTATAGGGCCCTCTGGAAGGTAGAGCTGAAGGAGCCTGTGGTCCTTCCCATAGGACCAGGTCAGGGAATATATTTGTTTCTCTTCCTGTGGGGAGAGAGGGGAACTAAGGATGACAGGCCCAGATGTGGCTGTATCGCTGGGTCAGGTATTTGGGGCATGGCTGGCTGGATGTCTCTGTTGGCCCAGGGTCCCTCTGGAGTGGGGCTCTGTTTGTTGGAAGAGGGGGACCCTCTGGGACGGGCCTCTCTCTAGGGCGTGCAACCCGGTTAGCCAAGCATTGGAGCTCTGAGAGCTCATAAAGGTCCCGGGCATACAGGGGTACCAGAGCTGTGCTGGAGTCTAGGGACATGTGGGGCTGTTGGGGCAGCACTGAGACCTCAGGGTATGTGGGGTCTCAGTTTATGATGGGCACCCAGGTCACACAAAGGTCCAAGGGGTGTGTAGTGCCCCAGCGGCCCACAGTGGGGCAAGTATTATGGAGGTCATGGCAGCAAGGGGGCTGGGGCTGGGCCTGACCCCTGGTTGTTTCAGCGGTGTGGTGGGTGGCCGAATGCTTACTGCCGGGCTCTCTCCTGCTGCTCCTTCGCTGGGAGGGAGAGGGAGGAGGGCAGAGAGGGCAAGAACTGGGCTGGACAGCAACTGGGGCACTGGGAGGCTGGGCGAGTCCTATGCCCACCTGTATCGGGGTGGGGTGGTGGATACTGCGTGGACTCGCTGGCACAGCACAGATGTAGCCTGACTTGGTGCCTCATCTGTGCCCAACCAGGCCCTCAGAAGCCGAAGAGCAGGGCAGGACTGACGTGGGGGTGGGGAACCAGGGCAGAGTAGGCAGTGTGAAGACCTACAATGGGGGGGCGCATAGGGTAACCCAAGGCAGGATACCTACACCGAGCGCTGCGGAATTGATACCACTTGTGAGGTGGGGCAGTGTAGGTGCTGTGGGCGACCTCCTAACGAGGGCTGTGATTATGGTGTGCGAGTCCGGTATCAGCAGGTAATTGTGCTCTAAGGCAGCACGCACAGTGGCGACCTTAACATCCTCGCCTGTTACACCATTCTAGCAGGCTGTGAGGGTGCCTGAACAAGTGTGGGGCCTGGCCGAGCATGCTGGGCACAGGTGCTCAGGTGTTCTCCTGGCTATGCAGCTCAGGCCGCCGGACCCCGGGGGTGAACCTCAATGCCAAGGTGGCCACAAGGAGGGAGCTGGGTAGGGTGTGGGTGTGTGTGGGGGGAATCTTATGGAATATTAATTGGCCAGCAGGGACTCGACTGCAGTCTGAGGAGCTGATGGTCTCCTTGGCTTGAAAGCCTTCCAGGCAGAGTTGCCTTATCCCGGGTATGGCACCAAAAATATAATGCGGGGCTGGGGGCGTGGAGGGGGAGACCACCGGTGGCAGGCGTGTGCCACTAAGAAGGCAAAGGACCTATGTTGAAGACTTGGTCCCCAAACTGAGGACCTCCCACTGAAGGGAACATTGGGATCCTGTATTCTTCCTCTCTCTCTCTCTCTCTCTCTCTCTCTCTCTCTGTCTCTGTCTCTGCCTCTCTCTGTCTGAAAATTGTTAGTAGAGATATGTCCTTGAAGAGTACTGAGACCACAGCCCCTTCCTCTCTGCTTCCCAGCTACAAGGTGAGCAGCTTCCTACACCCTATGCTCCTGCCGTGATGTTCTGTGCCTAAAGTAATAGGGCCTACTGACAGTGGGCTGAAAATGATAAATCTTTCATGAAATCAGGAGCATCCCCACCCAGTACATCTGTCAAATTTCTACTGAAATTCAGGGACCTGCTATAATGTGGAATTGCTATTTAAAGTCAAGGAAGACATTGTGTTTTACTAGCTAGGCATGGTAGCGTATGCCTGTAGTCCCAGCATTGGGGGAAGCTGAGACAGGAGGATTGCCATGAGTGCAACGTGGGTATCACAGTAAGTTCAAGGCCAGCCTGGACTACACAACAAGACCCTGTCTCAAAAACAAACAACAAAAAAGACACATTTTCATTAACTCTGCTTTTATTCTGAAACAGCAACTGGGGAAAATAATTTGTCTTTTAACAAATTATTCAGTTTAGATTTTTAATTTGAATATAACCGTTGCTTCAAAAGTAAACATAAGGCAAGTGTTGTTTATCACCAGAAGCTGATATTACTGAGGTTTCAGAACTTAAATATAAAGATTTATCTGTCCCCATAACCTGTTACTACATTGTGACAAATAGGACAGGTGGAATTGTCAGCGAGCCAAGGATCAATGCAGTGAACGTGGTATTCGTGGGAACATGGTAGTATGCGAAGCTTGTTGCCGTGTGTGCATTCGGTAAGGCAGACACTGCAGGACTGCGGTGTATCATTTCTATTAAATACTCTTACTGCCAAGTTGTCAATCTGTTGCTTTGTAAGTCCTGTAGGTTGGTTAAAAGTAGGTACATCTATACGAACTACATCATCTAAGGTCAACCAGGCTTCACTTTCATTAGCTATTTCTGAGTGTGCATGTTGAATTTCTTGTCCGGCCTGAGACCTGGAGACTAATGATTCCCTTCTTTCATTAATGTCTCCGAACATCATTTGGAGTATTTCTGGATTTTCATAATGAGAACTGGTGCTGAACATAGGGTTAAAACTAGCACCAGTAGAGTAGCCGAAGCTTGGATCATACATGGCTGCTGCACCAGCCAGAGACTCAAAGCTAAGATTTAAATTGGAACTATCTCTTCTATTCTGTGACTCTGCCCTTGGTATGTTTTGAGTTGGAGGCAAGCCACTAAACTCTAAATCACTATCACTGTCGATAACGTTACTCAATCCTGCAAATCTTGTCGTACTTTGCTCAAAGGGTCTTCCCTGACTCTCACTAGATGCTGTAGCACCCAAACCACTATTTGAACTTCTGAAAGCAGGTATTCTGAGAGTACCAACATCACTTCTTATGCCTGCCGCTTCAGCACGTGAAAATATGTTCCTGAGCTCTTCTTGAGCACTTTCCACAGAGGTACAAGTGTATAGTGTCTCAGGTATTTCTAGAATTGTATCTGTGTCATCTCTCAGAGACTGTTCTCCTGGAAAAATTGTGACTTGAAAGTCTGGAACCACTAATGTGTGTCTTGTTCTCGATTCTACAGATTCCCTATTGCTGGATGCATGTGGAGAAAATTCTACAGATAAATCATCAGTTAATTCAGAAGCTGCAAAATTATCTCTACATTGTAAGGCAGATCTGGTCACTTGTCTCAATACCGCATGTGGTTCATTTCTAGAAACTGTCTCAGTCTCATTTACAGATAAATCATCAGTTAATTCAGAAGCTGCAAAATTATCTCTACATTGTAAGGCAGATCTGGTCACTTGTTGTCTCAATACCGCATGTGGTTCATTTCTAGAAACTGTCTCAGTCTCACTTACTGATGCCTCCTCGATACCCTCAGATGATATATTATGATGCAATCTCTCTGCCGTCTGATTTATTGTATCTGGATGGGAGCCACTTCATCAGTTAATTCAGAAGCTGCAAAATTATCTCTACATTGTAAGGCAGATCTGGTCACTTGTTGTCTCAATACCGCATGTGGTTCATTTCTAGAAACTGTCTCAGTCTCACTTACTGATGCCTCCTCGATACCCTCAGATGATATATTATGATGCAATCTCTCTGCCGTCTGATTTATTGTATCTGGATGGGAGCCACTTTCATTTCTTGTTCTGTGTCTCCACTTTCTTTGTCTCCTCCTTCTTGATCTTCGAATTCTGATAGATGGGTCTTCCATGTGAGCTTCTGCTGTACTTCCTTGCTCTTCCATTAGTGCTTCAGTTGTACGTTCTTGGTCTTCCATTAGTGCTTCAGTTGTATGTTCTTGTGATGTAGATGAAGTTGCAACTGTTGACACAGACTGTAGATTTTCCATATATTCTCTCAATAGTCTTGAAAACAGGGACTCTTCAGGCTCTAAATTTGGTCTTCTGGTATCACTACTGCTTGTAGTACTCGGATTTCCTAATGTCCAGGACAGACTTTCTGTCTGCTCACTTTCTGTCATGTGTTCAGTTTCAGTAAAAGAGGTAATCTTTACACTTCCACCATAGTAATTTGAAAGGTCTTGTGCACCTGTCACCACAAAAGAGGAAGAGTTCAGAAAAGAACTAAGAAAATTAAAAAATATTAAAAAATACTACTCTGTGACCATGTTTCAAAAACGCAAGAATAGGACCGGGGATTTAGCTGAGCGGTTCGGTGGCCTGCCTTGCAAGCACAAGGACCCAAGTTCAATCCCTGGTACAAAAACAGGAAACAAAAAACAAAAAAGCAAGAAAAGAATCGAGTGCTGAAAGGTTTGAAATTTTGAGCATATTTTTACACTTACACAGTTAACACTTTTATAAACCACATAGTTCAGATTTATAAGTAAAGGCAGGATAGTTTCAATTCCATTTGAAAAGACTAAACTGATCCTTAATAAATTCATAGATCTAAAAAGAGAATCTGACAAAGTTTATTTTCAATATTTTGTCGTGTAGAGTCTCACATATCATTGTGTAGGTCATGCCTAAAGACATTTATTTGAGTCCACTGTCCAAATACTAATACAATTAAACAAGGTAACCACAAGGTATGGTTGCTAGAATTTTAGTTCAAAGTATTACTGTATATTTTTGTCTAGTCTTCATTAATCTAGAGGAATACTTCTAGGTTCTTGACTGCTTTACTGATACACAAGATCGCTTTACATTATAAATCTCTCTTAGATGATGGCAAAATTAAAGGAGAATTCTGTGTCTCAAGTCATTTAAATGGGATTCTAACAGGGCTGATTTGAGGAGGTACATTGGAGATACTCAGGGAAGAGTCACAGAAAAAAATACATGTGTTCTGAAATAAGCGAAGCAATGAGACCGAGAAATTGAAAAGCAATCTGAAAGATAAATCCTGTAGATCAAGCCAAATGTCTGGATTGTTGAAAAAGGGAAGCAGCACTGCCTCTAATCCGTGCCTCCCTTGGAACCCTTTACTGAGGCAAAGGGTTAGCCTCAACTCAAAACATGCAAAGGGCAGAGTCACAGAAGAGAAGAGATAGTTCTAACTTAAATCCTAGCTTTGAATCTCAGGCTGGTGCAAGAGCAATGTACAATCCAAGCTTCCACTGTATTTTGGGTTCGAGTTTTAGCCCTGTGTTAAGGGCCAGTTCTCCTAGTGAGAATCCAGAAATTGCCTCACTGTTTGAATCAAACAGTATGAGGGAAGGAGACAGCACCGTAGAGGCCAGACTCCTAAAATAAACTCCCTACATACTCTCCCTCCCATCTGGAAAAGGAAACCTAGCATTGGAATGAACTGTACTTGGGGCCCCAAGGAAGCCACAAACTTTAAGTAGAGAGAAGGAGAGATAGCAACATGCCAATTGGCAGCCCCTCACATCCTCACAATCCCTGAGGGACACTGTGCCCTGGTGACTCCTAGCCACTGCTCATCACCCAGGATCCACAAGGGGAGAACTCTGCCCTAGTCCTACTGGACACTGAACTGTGGATTGTACCAAGCCTGCTGACAGGTACCTATCAATCACATCCCTGGAGACACTAGAGCGTAGAGACCGCACAGAGTCAACCCAGAGCGGGCGCTTTCCTGTTATTTCCCCAAGCACTGGAAACATTTGAGTCAGTGGGAAATCCTGTTTACTGCCACTGTCCTGCACAAGCAAAGTAGGCCCTCTGCCAAGCTTGAGGACTAGACCAAGTTCTGAGGACTGAGAAGTGGAGCTCTTGAGTCAGGGAGGGATGGGAATCTAAATGCAAAGGAACTGGAGGGGTTGGCTGGAACAAAGAGCTTCCCCAAATACTAGGAGGAGAGCCCCTGGAAGAATGCAGCACAAACATGGGATTTGCCCTCAGGCAAGGGAAGCCAGACTGAGAGGACACTGGCAGAATCTGAAGGGAACCCACATGGAGGGAAAACTATTTTACATACGCCTGTCTCCAAATGATTTGAAGGGTCTGGATCTCCAGACTGAGACAAGGCCTGCCTGCAGTTAACGATGTCCAAAGCACTGCTTGCACTCAGGAGGTGGATCCAGATAGTCAGACAGCCTTCACCACTCCCAGGCAGGTAGTCAAGCAGACCAAAGGCAGGGCGAAAACTGTCTTGACTCCTAACAAGTGGACTATGACTACAGTAGGAAGGGAATTCCATGAACATTCTGGCTATAAGCTATAGAGTACGTGGGGAGGGGTATTTTCTTGCTTTTTGTCTGTTCTGGATTCTCTCTCTCTCTCTCTCTCTCTCTCTCTCTCTCTGTCTCTCTCTCTCTCTCTGCTTTCTCTCTTTGATTATTGCTTCTATATCAATATTATTTTTTAAACTACTTTTTCCTCATTGAGTTTATTAGTACGTTTAGGTATACAGTACAGTAACATTCATCATTGGGATCTTGTACCTTTACATGACAGGTGTTGGTTCTCATTTTTCCCCCTTGTCCCTGCCCTCCCTTCTCCCCCTCCTCCCCTCCACATTAACAGACTCTTTATTTCCATTATGTGCTCTTTTGATCTTTCTTCTTTTTTCTCTTTTTAACATACTTTTCTCCCTATTCTGTCCTTTTCACCCTGCCTTATTTTACATATTCCTCCTATCTTCCCTAACTTGTTCTCCACATTTCATGTGATATACACACAACAAGTACCTGTATATGTGCAAAAGAGAGTAAGACTAGAGTTACTTATGTTTTGGGTTTCTCAGGTAAGAGAAACTAAGTTGTTTGCCTGATTTATTGCACTTAATATTTGGTTACAAGGTGCATTCGTTTACCTACAAATACCTCAAACGTATCCTTCTTTATGGCAGAGTAGTACTCCATTGTGTATAAGTAGCACATTTCTGTTATCCATTGATGTGTTGATGAATATGTATGGACTGTTTCTAAGATTTAGCTATAAAAAATTGTGCGGCAATATACATAGGCATGCATGTGTCATTGCAATATGATGTCTCAAACTCTTTCAGGAGGGTTCCTAGAAGGATAATAGCTGTATCAAATGGAATTTCCATTTTTGTTGTTCTTGTTTTTAAGGAATTGCTGTACTGATCTCCATATTGGTTGTACTAGTTTATAGTCTTACGAATAATGTAGAAGCCCCCTCCCATCCTGGAGCAAAATAAGGAACAGATAATAGGAAGTAGGGGGATTTTTTTTTCAAATGGGAAGGGGAACAAGAGATTGAGGAGGGGAAGAAAGGAAGGGAAATGGATGTAAGGAAACAATGGAAGAAACAAATGGAAATGGAGATTTTTTAGATGGGAAGGGGATCGAGAGTTGGATTGAACAGGGAGAGATGCTAGAGGAAGGAGACAAAAAGAATTAAGCTGTGCTATGTACATGTACAAATCCTCCATGCTAAATGTAATCATTATGTACTACAAACTGGTACTAATAAAATATATAATTAATGAAAAAAGAGAATAGAACAGTGCTGTAACTTACATAGCACCATTCACGGTCTCATGTTGAAATAACCCTTATCATGATTCAAGGAATTCAAATAAAATTAACCATGAATATATTAACAGGTTCCGACAGTCTCATAAATTCCCTTAATCTTTACTTACATTTCTCTCTGCATGCATCCCTCCCTCAACCTCCACAAATATTTTCTTAAACCCACTCAGAGTTTACTCCAGGTAAAACCTACTTCCAACCTGGTCTGAACTTCTGTTTATATTATACCTGTTAACATTTTGCTGATCTGCCTCTTCTCCTACTGACTTGTCCCCTTTCATTCCTCTTCCTCTTCCCTTCTCTTTTCCTCCCACATCCCAGAATAACCACCAATAACTGTACAGTATAGTGTACATGAGGCACTGATACAAAGGGCAAAAATGCAAAAATAAATTTTAACGTTTATGATTGATATATTGCTGCATCTGTGTTGTTATAAACAGCAGCAGTTTTCTCTCTACAACACAGGGATTGGGTTTATTCTAGCTAAATGGAGTAGGGGGGAAAACTAAAAATACCTCTTGATAAATGAAGGTAAGATCACATCACTGGAAAACAGAACCTAATTAAAGAAGTCTTAGCCAGGTGTGGTGGTGCACACCTGTAATCCCAGCACTCGGGAGGCTGAGACAGGAGGATCTCTGTGAGTTCGAGACCAGCCTGGGCTACATAGTGAGTTCCAGGTCAATCTCAACTACGTAGTGAGACCCTGTCTCAAGAAACCAAAAAAAATAAAATAAAAAATAAAAAAATCATTAAAAAATAAAGAAGCCTTCATGCGAATAACAAATTCCCATCACTCCATTAGACCTCAACTCCTCAATTCTTAGCATATACACACAATAAAAATTAGAACATGAAAAACTAAGGCTATAAAATGCTTCCAAAGACTCCCAAATCTCCCAAACCAAATGCAACGGGCACAGATGGAGGTGAAATCAAACATCAAATAGATGAGCCACATGCAGTGATTAAATAAAAAACAAAGAAACAGTGAGCTCAAGGATGACATTAACCTAAAATATAGTGGAACAAATCCACCCCTGTGGTTATAGAAAAAGCAAATGAAAACTTAGAAGAGCTGACTAAATATAATCTGAACATGTGTCTTAGTTACTTTTCTCTCAGTGCTGCCATGGCATACCTGACACCTAAAGTTGAAGGGGAAAGGTTTATTTAGCTCACAGTTTTTAGAGGCTTCAGTCCCTAATTGGCTGGTTCCGAGACAGGGCGGCTTGGCAGAGGGGTGTTACAGAGGAGAACCAGGTCATGGTAAAAAGAAACAGCAAAAGCAAGCAAGCAAGGGAGGACCATAGCTCTTTCTGTCTCCCTTGTATCTTATCCAGGTTACCCTCCCTTAGGGAGGGCAGCACTCATACCCGTAATCCTAGTGCCCTTGATCCTAGCACTGTACCACGAATCAATCCCACTGTAATAGGTCAAAGCTAAATCATAATAGCTAAAGCTTTGAAGTGGCCAATATATCCATCAATAGATGAATAGATAAAAAGAATGGGGCATATATACATGAGAGTTCTACTCAGGTATAAAGAAGGATACATTTTAGTCATTGTCGTAACAGTGAGGTACCTCGACGTCATAGTAAGTGAAATCAATCAGACACACAGGCTCAAATATTGCACAACTTCTGTTATATGAGAAATGCTGCGCATAAATACTTTAAAAAAGACAAAACGAGACAAGGAGGTCAAACTTTTGGAAATGGGAAAGGGATCTAGAGAGAGGGCGGAGAAGAGAGGGGCAAGGGGGAAGGGAATAAAAAAAAATAATATATGTTAATTACATGTACCTATCCCCTAAGATGAATCCAAACATTAGGCGCTGCGAAGATATGCTAATAGAAAATTTTCAAAATAAAAATCAACTGTAAAACTAAAATTTAAACAAGGAAGAAGTTATATATGAACTAAAAACCTATACAGGAAGACAAAATATAAAGGTAATATAGAAATACAGAAACCAAAATATAAATGAACAAATAGAAAACAAATCAAAGGCAACTCTAAAATGTCAACATTTACCTTAATTTTCTAATAAAAGATAGAGACATAGAGGATAAAAACATATGCCTGGTATACGCCATTTACATGAAACACTTCAAACTCAATAATATACATACATTAAAAATAAAATGATATACAGCAGACATTTTCAGAAGAATAAAATCAAGGGCTGTTATATTAATATCATCTAAACATCAGAACAAAAATATATTACCAGAATCAAATAGAAATATATATATAATGATAAAAGGATCATACCACCAGGAAGGCATAAGTCTTAAGTTTATATACCAAATAACTGAATCTCAAATCATTTGTAACAAAATTGTTAGAGTGAATGAAGAAATATAAAGCTGCATTGAGAAAATGAATAGTGCCTTTCAAACTGATACTAGACGAGATATCATCAAAGATAAGACAAACAACATAATCTAATTGACATCTATAAAACACTTAAGCAACAGCAGAATACACATTGTTTCAAGTGTCTATGAAACGATCACCAAGATCAAATGCATCTTTGACTAATAAACCAAGGCTCAATAAATGTAAAATAAATTGTAATCATACAGCAGGTGTTATCTGATCCTAATGGCTTCAAACTGGAAATCAACAGTAGACAAGAGGAAATTTTCTGAATATGGAAACTACACAGCGCACCCCTCACTGGACAAAACAAATTTCAAAGTAAGGAAAGTAGTTAGAAAAACATTGGCAAAATAAACCAAATTAAGCAGAAGAAAATAAATAATAACAAGGATTCTGTGATATCTAAAACAAAAACAATGGAGATATGAAACACAAAGCTGCACCTGTGAAAATGTACTAAAGTTGACAAACCTCTAACCAAACCGACAAAAGAAAAAGCAATACACATCACCAATATCAGGACTAGGACTGAAAAAAGAGTATCACTAAATATGCAGGAGCAATTTAAAGTGCTACAAGGAAATACCTCAAAGATGTTTGCATTCATCAATTCAGTAACTTAAAATACATGGAACAATTTTTCAAACGGTATAACAGTGGAAATATTCTGTTCGTAACACTTTTTGCAAGATTTTACCATTTGAGGAAACTGCGATAAACAACAAGATTTTCTGCATCGCTTCTTTAAACTACATTAAACTCTAAAAGTTTTAATTAGAAAGAAAAGCAAGTCTCCTCCCCATTCAAAACATTTGCTTAATGGGAAAGAGAAACTCAACCGGCAAGACTCTGTTGCTATGGCTGAAGGTAGTGACTATGATCTGAATCTTCCCAAACGGCAAACCGCATTAAATCTCTCTCCTTTAAATTGCAGATGTTGGGAATTCGGACCAAGTATGGGAAATCGAATACAAGACCATTTTACTCACGTTTCCCAATTTAAAACTACGCAAATACGAATCAGGAAAAATCCTTGGTATTCTCACCCCAGATCATCCCACCGTTCTGTTCTCTTTTCATGGGGATCAAATTAGTTCGTGTCACCTTTTTTTTTTTGTTGTTTTTTTTTGGACGGAGGATTGAACTCGGTCGGGTCCTTGGGCTTGTGAGGCAGGCACCAGAACCTGAGCTAAATCCCCGGCCCGGTGTCACTTTTATATAATCTTTGGCTGTACTCCTACGAAGTACCAAATCTATTCCGTCCGCTCAATCCCCTCTTAAAGTGAAATGAAAGTTCATTTTTACCTGCTCCCAGGAGTAAGGTATCTTTAATTTGTCGTAGTCTTGCTGCCAACTCTTCTTCTGTAGATTCACCTATGATGCCGAATAAATTGTTATCCCTCATAAGCCTGTAATCTTCTTCAGTTATGCTGTTCACAAACCGGTAGTAGGCCTCTTCCCGAACGAGTCGATCAGCCTGACCCTGTGCGGTAGACTCATCTTCTTCTGAGCTCTCCATTTTGATCAGCGGATGAGAACTCGCCTCACCCTTAAAAGTGTTAAAGGACACTAGGTTTCAGTTTTATTTTTCCAGTCTTGGTTTAGCGGCCATAGGCCGAGCTCCTCCTTCCGCTCCTTTCCGCAGCGGACTCTTTTAGTTATGACCGTGGTGGTCCAAATCGTTGGTGTAGCCCCTCCCCTTTCGACGGGCATTCTGGGAGAGGTTGCCTAGGTGTCATTATAGTTCATCACTGGGTTCTTTTTTTTTTTTTTTCCTCGTTGAGTTTATGGATCCATTTTAGGTGTACAGTACAGTTACATTCATCATTGGGATCTTGTACCTTTACATGACAGGTCTTGGTTCTCATGTTTTCCCCTTGTCCCTGCCCTCCCTTCACCCCCTCCTCCCTGGGTTGTTTTTGAATAAAAAGCTTTATTGCGCTAAAAGACACATTGCCGTGAGACGCCCCCCCTCTAGTAATGCCTCTTGCATTTTTACCAAGCAGAAGGCATTTTAAAATGACCTTGCACTCAAAACCAAGAGATAAACCCTGTGTGGTGGTGGACGCCTGTAAACCCAGGAGACAGAAGTATCACAAATTGAAGCTCAATTTGGGCAATTTATTTTATTTTATTTTATTTTATTTTATTTTATTTTATTGGTACTGGGATCGAACTGAGGATCTTGAGCTTGCAAGGCAAGTGGCGGGACCACTGAGCTAAATGCCTGGCCCAATTTGGGCAATTTAGAGAGAACTTGACTCACAATTAAAAAAAAAAA